CACTGATAATAGCTTGTGGGTGCCGGATTTGCGTTTTTGCGCAATTTGATTGCCTTTTAAGGATAGCAAAGGTGTTTTATTGATTCGGTGTGCATTAAGAATAAATTGCCCACCAAGTGTTCGATAATTTGCCTGAGTGGCGTGATTGGTGTGATTAGGGTGGCGTAATTACCATTTGGTGTTATTGTGGCGTTTGTGGTATACGGGAGCAATGACACCAAAAAAGAAAGCTATTGCTCATAAGGACTATAACTCGCACTATTTCAAAAGCAAAGATGCCTATCAACGATTTATTTCAGGCATAGCTTCGAAGAATCTCATTTCTGAATGCGGCTTCACTCTGGATCATGGCCTAATCTTCGACAATATCCAAGCATAGGGATGGCAGGACTTTGCTAAAAAGCCAAAAGCGGCAGTTATCCCGCTTGTCCGCAAATTTTACGCAAATGCGTTGGAGCATAATGCCAATGGAGTTTATGTATAGGGTGAAACAATGTCTTTTGATTCCAAGTCCATTAACCAAATTTATAACCTCCCACATTCAGAACGATGACTACTCGATGCTAATGAGTGAGGAAACTGATTGGGAGGTGGTTATTCACCGAATGACTCAAGCAGGCATAGAATGGAGAAGAACTCGGACTGGGACACCAAAAGACTTTCCGGCTAGTGCTTTAACACGAGAAGGAAAGGCATAGAACTATTTTATTTTTTCTCATCTTTTGCCAAGCACTCAGTACAGCAAAGTCACAAAGGAACGGGCTGGTTTAATGTATGCAATCATGGATGGCATATCAATTAATGTGGGACAGATCATTCACTAGGCAATTATTAAGGTCATTCGAGCTACTACAACTGTTGGTCTGGCATTCCCATGTCTGATTACCACTCTCTGCAATCTTGTGGATGTCGAATGGGAAAATACCGAGCAACTACTCCCGAAGCCGGACATTGACGAGAGCGTTATGGATAGTTATCAGAGTTGGGAAGATGACGTCGACGCAGTCGGTGAACATTATGACGCTTTAGACCCATCAACATCCGGTCCCACTACAGTCCCTAGTCCACCAAGGTCACCCCGAAGAACTCGCACTCGGACCACCCCAGCTACTTCTCAGGAAGCCCCAGTCGAACATCCTGAATCACACTATAGGCAAGCATTGCACAATCTACATCACGAGTTCCGACAACAAGCAACTTGGCAAACTAATTCCGTGCTCCTTATGGCTCAAATGATCGGACAATATGTTGGTGCACCACCACCTTGGCTCACTCCCCCACCTGTGTTTCCCATTTTCCCGCCAACTTCGGGAAACAATGATGATGATGATGGCGAGGGCGCTTGACATGGCCCTTGCCCAGGTACGTCCTCTGCGCTTCTATTCTCTTTATTACAACATTGAGGACAATGTTTCTATTTAAGTTTGGGGGGATTGTTTCTTTCATTCGTATAATAGGTTAGCTGAGTTTAGTGTTTTATTTTTTATTTTTTTTTTTTTCGTCCATTCATTCATTTTATTGTTTATCCATTTAAAAAAAAAAAAAAGTAAAAGTGACAACACCAAGACCGATGATGAGATTGGTTTTGCTTGCTTCTAGCTTGGGAGAAATTGATGAATATTGTTTTTGTGTGTGTGCTTGATCCTCTTTGTTAATTCTTGCTTTGCCTGGGACTCTATACCATTCTGAGCACTAGCTTAAATTTGTTAATCATTTTGCTTACTTGGAGAAAGATTATGTGACCTAAGCAAACTCTTTGATCTCACAAAAATTCTAGAACCGGTTTGATTGTCACTTGAGGTGAAATCCTAGGACACACCATATTAGAGAAGGGATTTAGGCCATGTTTGGATCGTTTGAGCCTTTCAAGCCAACCCGTGCATAATACATATCCCTAGTACCCCTTTTGAGGTTGTTTTGACCTTTTTCTTTGTCACCTGTAATTGGACCTAGCTTTAACTAATACTCCCTCATTTGACCATTCACTTCTGTGCATATGATCATTAGAGAAGAATATTAGAGCTACATTACAATTTTGGGAGGATGGGAGGAGCTTGGAAGAAGAAGAAAAAAAAAATTTTGAAGGACGACAACTTAGACACCCCACTTTGTGCGCTCAAGTAAAGAAATAAGTTTGGGGGTGTGGAAAAAAAAATTAATGATGAATAACGTGGGTTACAAATGGCAGTTCGAAAGCAAGTTTGGGGGAATTAAGGAGAATTGAAGAAGCTCACAAAAAGAACATGGAATGATTGTGTGCACATGAGTGCCTTAAGCCAAAAATAGTATCCATCATCCTACCTTGAACCCAAGCCTCACGTTACAAGTCGAATAAAGTCCTAATGATCCTTGGTATGGTGCTCGTTCTACATTAGTGGAGAGTGATTTGAAAAACCAACCTATGGAGTTCTAAACATTCTCAACTAAGAGATCCATTTTTAAAGAACTTGGGTAGCATAAACTGATCTGAGTGCGGATGGTTGACAGCGAAAAGCTTTACACACACACTCATGGAGCCTTAAGTGAGGTAGAAATTGGCATTAGGATTGAAATTCTACATAGAATATGATTTCTGAAGCTTCTCTTGAGCTACTAACTATGTGGAATCTCTGAGGCAAGATTGTCAAATTATCAACAAGTTGTCACTGGTACTTCGATTCTTTTATTGCTTTGAGGGTTAATTTCTTTATTCTCTTTTCTTTACTTTTCTTTTGCTCAAGGACTAGCAAAATCTCAAGTTTGGGAGTATTTAATATATTGGATTAATGCTTATCTGGATACTTCAAATTGAGTATTATGTTGGTTTTAGAGTAATTTTAATAGCGAATTTATGTGATTTTAATTGGTTTTACAGATTAGCATCATTTGGAGTTCGTAGGCAAGTGTTCAAGTAATTCTTGGAGCTAAATTGATATTTGAGAGCCGCGGCCTTAAAAGATGGCGCCTAGGCTCTGAAATAATTCAGTTGCAGTACAAAAACCCGACAGAAGAGAGCCTAGGCCTTGTGCAGTCGAGCCACGGCGATATTTTACGCAGTGAAGAACTTCTCCACTCAGCGTCGCGGTGCCCAAAACCAGAGCCGCGACACTACTTCAAAGCAAGGCGTATATTTGGCATCTTTCAGGTCAGCGCCACGGCGCCCAAATAATAGGGATGCGGCACTACTTCGAAGATTTTGCCGACTTGAGTTCATTTGAGTTCCAAAAATTTACAAAAATGCCACCACGATTCCAAACACTATAAATAGGATTTTTAGGGTTATTTTCTAGTATCTTTTGGCTAAGAAAAGAAGGAGAGAAGACGACTCTACGAAGGAGAGGAGGATTCGTTTAAGAACGGAGTTCAACTTCAAATTCGCCAAACAGTTTTATTCTTCTTGAATTTCTTATGTTAATTATTATTGTTATTATGTTTTCTTTTTCAATTATGTTCTAAATATCTAGACTAGGACAACAAGTGTAGTCAAGACATGAATATTTGATTTCATTTATTTTCTTTCAATGAAGTTTATTCACTAAGAGTTTTCCATATATGAATGTGTTTCTTTTATTGTTCTTAATGCTTTCAATAAACTGATCACTTATTGAATTGAATTGAAACCCCAGAAGGAGATTTTTAAGAATAGTTTCTAATAAACAGAACCGGAAGGTGCGTAGGACATCGAGAGATAGTAATACGACTTGCGAGAGCAATTTTAGAAAAATCAAAGAACTCAATTAATTTCTAGGATGGTGGGATTCACATCTAGCGATAGTGAATTTACATGTTAGAAATATTTTTAATAGCATCCCCAGAAGGACTATTAGATAAATTAGGGTTTTTCGTTCTACTACATGAATGGGAGGCGATGTTAGCAAATAATTGGAATTGAATATGAATTGTCTTGGTGAAACTTGTATGCTCTAGTGTTTTCTTGCATTGATCTCTTTTCATAATTATTTTGCGTATAATTTGTGTTAATTTATTTTGCTTTCTTTTTAGTTTTAATCTTTTATAGAGATTTTAGTTGTCTAGATAAAGTTAAGAATATCAATTTTAATAATTGTTAAGCTAGTCTCTGTGGGAACGGTATCTTATTCACTCATTATATTACTTGTGCAATTCGTACGCTTGTGAAAAATCACATCATATACCCTCCATTGCATCACTTGAACAATAGTATGTTTTCAATAAAAGATTTCTATTTATTATTGTTGACCAATTTTCATGAGATTTTGAAAGTGTTTTTTGAGCATGGTGTGAAATCTTGTATTTATTATGAACTGAGATATGAGAATGATCATATCCTTGAGGAATAAGAGATTCTAAAATAGGGGCCACATGAAAGAGAATCTAATAACACAAGACTAACGTCATACAAGAGGGCCATAAATGTTAAAGAAGCTCATATAGTTCTTGTGATGCAGGTAAGCTCTATAATTGAAGTTTCAATTGACTGAGCAAGAATGGTCAAAGGTCCCATGACAAGTCTAGAGATTTTAAAATTCGAGATTTGTAATCCTAAGAATTTTTGCTTTGACTATTATTTCAGTAGTGGACATTATTTTTTTTTTTATTATGCAGTATTATTTGTTTTATTTTAGTTAACGTTTCTCTTGAGTTTAGCGATTTTCTAGCTACTAGCTTATGAGGGGCGTTACTGGTAAAGCTGCTAACTCGTGCCCCAGGGCTTTGGCCAGGGTGATAGAATTGTAAAAGGTTTGTTATCCTATTGTACCAGGCATTGTAAAACAAACATAATTGCCATAGGTATTGGGTGCATCCCTAAGGGCTAAAGAAAGCATTCAAATCTTGCCCATTTCCTATCACATAAGATCAACATAATTTCTTTTAAATAGGACATTTAGCAATCATGACTAGCACAGAAGATATAAATAGCTACAAAATACCACAGATCAAACAACTGAATCATAAATTTGGCAATCCGAATGATTTTTTTTTTTTTTTTTTTTTTTTTTTTTGGCTAGAAGACGATCCTAATAAATAAATCAATCATTTACCTGTACAAACTTGGCAAAGCTAGAGCCAAGTGGAGATCCATTATACAGTGCAATGGAAGCCCCATTTAACAGTGAAGCATACACCAGCCAAGGACCCATCATCCACCCCAGATTTGTGGGCCAAGCAACAACATCCCCTTTCTGAATGTCGGTATGGCACCATGCATCTGCGGCAGCTTTAAAAGGAGTTGCATGGGTCCATGGTATTGCCTTTGGCTCCCCTAAACCAAGATTAAACCCAGTTAAGATTGTTTAGACTGAACATATCCTTTGGTTGATTTTGAAGTTCGTATTATGAAAACGCAAGGACCGGAAGAAGCAGGCGCAGCACCTGAATCAGAAGAATACCATATTGTCTAAACAAAGAAAGAACTGACATATCTTGTAAAACGCCAGTTAGGAAAGAAACTTAAGAAATTAGGTTTACAAAATACATATGCGCCAGATTGATGGTTACAATATTTCAATATAACTACCAGTCCCGATGCTATAATTGTAAGGATATAGATGGAACTGCATAAAGCTTCGCTTCATCAAGATAATGAAATCCCACGAAAAGTTGCAAAGTTTTGCATTATTACAATAATCGATAATTTTAAATCAAGGAGATGGGAAACCCCATTTTGCAGATATAAATGTAAGAGGTTTTAAAACTTCACCTGTAGTTCCAGATGAGAAAAGGATATTTGTAAATGCGTCAACTGGTTGCTCTACCGCAGTAAATTCACAATTTCTGCAGATTTGACACGAAAAGTTTCAAATACTAGATTTATGTTACTAGAAATACAGAGCTCCTACAAAGGAAAACTATTAAACTATAATATAAGATGCACGACAAGTTTGCATCATATGCCAGCTGTAGTAAGTACAAAAGAACAACCATGCAGTATTAATGAGATTGTTTTGGTTTGGTACACAAATCTCAACAAAATTTGAATAGAACTGTTCTCCACATCTTGAAAGAAGGAAGGGGGCAATAAAATCATTGTTGATATCACAATATCTAAATACTTAATTCAAACTCAGAGAGTCAAATTTTCTGTTACTTTCTCCCCTAAGTTATTCAAAAGTTTTAAGTTTAACTTCAATGAATAAAAAGCACGCAAATTTTAAAAAATGATTGAGGTAGAATGATTGAATTTGTATTATAAGTTACAAAGATCAGTCAACAAATGTAGGAAGTCAAAAATTAATGTAGGAAAAACAAAATCCATTGAACACACAATAAAAAGTAAACGTATATCAAGCTGGAAATGAATGGTATACATGAAATCTTTTGCTCTTTCTAGAAAATCATGCCAAGCAATATCACCGTGACGTAATTGTGTGCTAAAACTGGATCCCCTTGTAGGAATTACAATTGCCATCGGAGACTGAGGGGTTGTTCTTTTGGAGTATAACTTAAGTGTCGTTTTTGAATTGAATTTGAGTTATAGCTTGAGTTGAAGTTAGAATTTGAATAAAGTTGAGTAAAATTGAATAAAGTTGAAATTTAAAAGAACGTGAACTTAAATAAAGTTGAAACTTAAGTTGTCTTTTTTTGAGTTTTTTGGACAAAAGAACGTGCCCTGAGCTTCCACAACTCGACTGCACGATCGAAGCTATCAGGTGAGATAAACGGTAGATGGGAGCACAAAAAAGACGAAAAAGTTTGCAAAATGGCTTATGACTGATGAGGACTTCACCTATATAAGGGTATAGTTCTTTCACCACGAATGATTAGATCCTGACCACAAGAGGAAATGAATGAAAACTTAAAAATGATAACTGTGGAAAGAAAAAAATGCTGAAGCCCTATGGAAGAAGTGATGTGCAAAAATTATTACGCTCAAGAACTTATTCGTATTAAACACAAATAAGAAAACAGAAATGATATTATAAATCAGGACCTATTTGTGCTGTCCGATCCCCTTCCAAACTTAAATAAATCGAACTTAGAGGTTCAATAGTGATTTCAAATCTTCAGTTTAATTTCAGAATCAGTCTTTTGACGTTTTAATATAAGTCTTTTCCATTTTCCCTTTCTACATAATATTTTCCTTTGTGTATTTTTCCCTTCAAATGACCTACAAATTCTAGAAGTGCAGTCTTTAACTTGCCGTCTTGTTCAAGAAGAAAAGAGGAAATTTGATCATTCATTTGACAAACTCTACATCTAGAAAGGAAACTTAAAACGTAAAAAATAATTACAAACAGGTCTAAGTCCTCAAATAAAGAAATTTCAGGTGAATCGACAAAAAAGATAAAAGATAATGATAGACGTTTAGGCCTTCCACAGAAAGTGCAACAACCTGCGTGAATATGGCTTTAGCTTTTGATATTTTAATTCTTGTTGATATTTCACGAGCAGCAAAACTATCAGCTATAGATACAACAACATAGCCTGCAAGAATAATAGCTAGGTAGATAACGACAGAATGGACATTCATCGGCATATCAATTGCAATTGCAGATCCTCTCTCCAAACCCAGATCTTTGAGTGCACGAGCTACTAACCTTCAAAGTATAACCAAGTGAATTTTAGTTACTTCATGCTACAGATACAAATGGTTAAAAAGTATTCTAACTCTTAAATATTTTAAAGGAACATCAAAACTTTGCCTATCGATAGAAAATTCATTGTAGACATACTAAACCAAAATCTTCAAAACATATGTTTTATTGAGTTTTTTTTTTTTTTTTTTTTTTTTAGTAGATATGTTATATTGAGTTATTTACTCATTAGATTGAAAAAACATCTACTAGCATGACTAGCCTCATAACAACATAAAAATAATCAGGTAAAATCTTTCGCGCTTCAATTCCCCAATAATTTCTTACCTCTATTATCCAGTTCTTAGAAGAGGTCTCTTTCCTCTAAGTAAAAAATATCAGTTCTTTCAACCAACTTCTTTCTTCAGACTTGTTAGGAGAATTATCAATGTAAAACTAAAAGTGTCTAGTAAAATGTTGATGATGTGCGGACATACTAGGTTGCAAACTAAACTAGGTTTTAAGAGATATAAATTATTGGATTAATTACAAAAATTCTCCATGAACTGTACCTCCTGTAACACTTTGCCCCCTATCTTTAAAATGTAACATCCATTCTCCCTGAGCAATGAAATGTTAACAAAAAAAAACCCCTTCTGTTAGGTTTTTTTCAACGGAAATTGACATTTAATTTGTTATTTTGTGATATTTTAGTAGCTCAATAATTAAAAATTTAGTTTAAATTTAAAACTAATTTAAATTTGAACTTTTAATTATGATACATCCATTATTGATTGAATGTAAGTTAAAAGTTTTATGAATCTTTTTTTAGTAGAATAAAAAATTATGATTTTTTTTAATATTCAATTATTAATTTAAATTCAAATTAAATTTTAAACCATAGAATGTCCAAATTACCCTCAAAATAGCAAATTAAACGTCAACTTCAGTTAAAAATTTAATATAGGGGGCTTTTTTGTTAACATTTCATTATTCAAGAGGAAGAGATGTTACATTTTAAAGATCAAGAGGCAAAGTGTTGGTATAATTCAGGGAGAATTTTTGTAATTAATCCTAAATTATTTAGTTATGCAGACATGGACTAAGCACCATGTGTTTATGGGGGATCCAGAGCTACAATATGCACAGAAAGCCACGGTAGTAACTCAACAATCTCGAGGGACCGACCTATACTGTGTAATGGCTTGTATAAGTTTCCAGGAGATTACATCGAAAAACAAAAGCAACTAATACATCTTTTAGAGAATTCCTGATTTTCAAGAAACTTGGTCCCAAATACATAGTAAACAGGATAATGGATATATAATCTTACAAAAATATGAGAATGAGTTTGACGAAACATAGATTACAAGAAATTGGAATCATACCAGACTTCTGAACGCAATTCCTCAAGTGTCATTTTGTTCACAGGCAGATCATCCTTTCCTTCATCGCGCCATACTATCATTGTATCATCCAAACTCCTTTTAGAGTTCACATTCAAACAATTCTTTGCTGGATTCACATATGCTCCAGGAAGCCATTGACCACCCGGACGTGAAACATGCTCTTCTCCTGGCAAATTCTCACGGAAAATACATTCCGGAGGCTTTGAAAAAGATACGTTCATCTCATCGAATATTGTTCTCCAATAGACCTGACGAAGGCCCAAGCCCGGCCCTGGCCCTTATGGACTAGGGCCAGGGCCTGGACCAGGCCTGAGTTTTTCTTCTCAGGCCCGGCCCAGACACGGCCATGCACTGTGCAGGGCCGTGCCTGGCACGGCCCAGGCCCGTGATGGGCCTGGGGTCAAGCGTGTCGTGCCGGCCAGGCACAGCACGTTTGACAACACTATAAATAGGACACACCTTTTATTATATGGTGATACTTATCACCAGTAGTGTCTTTAAAAAATTTTCTACTTGGTCCGAGTCTGAAAACTCATAACCCACTTGGCTCCTTTGCAACGTGCTAACGTGACAATTATTTGTTGAGGTGTGTTGATTGTGAGATGCGGCGGAGGTCATTTGCAACGTGGTAAATAGTTTTTTTATAAAAAAAAAAATTCAAACTATTTCTTCTACAGTTTTCTCATGAATTTACTTTTTTAATTCAAATTCTCAACTCAAACTAGCGAAACAGACGAGCCATCTGAAATCAACACCATCAATGAAGAGCATCACCTTTTACTTCATATGCCAAGTTCTATAGAGTATGGCTACAACTAAAGTGACGACGATCACCGAGGATCGATCATCTCGAATTGTGAATGGTATAATTGCTACTGAAACTATGCTTGAAGCAGAGGCTTTAACGTTGAGTTTGTCTTATCATCTAAAAGATTTGAGACCTGTTTAGTTCGCTGATTCGAGTTTTTAATTTGAGTTTAGATGTGATTTTGTGTGAGAACTTTTTATTGTAGCAAAAAAATTAGATATAACTATTTCTAAAATCTTTTTATTATAGCAAAACTTAAATTCTCAACTCAAAACAGTAAAATGAACGAATCTTAATGTATGTTTTCATGGTTCTCTAAGCAATAGCAGAGATCAATGTACGTGACATCAAAACAATTGGAGCCAATCATGATATCATACAGCTAAAAGTTCATGACTTGAAGTCTAAAAGCTATAGTAGCTATAGTAGGAAAGAAAAAGGTGTCTGGTTGTCATATTTTTTGAAATTGTTCCTTAAAAAAAAAAAAAACTTGTAAGATTATTATTAGTTACTATCCTCGATTTGTAAATGTGTACTTACAATAGAAAAAAATAAAAACTATGAGCATATAAGGCACAGAATGAAGAGACATATG